GGGCTACTCGCTCTCCGGAGGGCTTGGGGAGCCACTCAGATTCCATCTTGTCTGTGGTGGACAAGAGGTTTTTCTGACTGAGGTGAAAGATACAACGCACCAGTTACCAGTTGCATCGACTCCGACTCGTGGTGGCCCCGTTTGTGTCAGAGTAGAACTGTGCACCGTAGGGTTTTCAATGACTGTGACCTTTCAGAAGTAGATCACCAGGACTTTCTTTCGAGGTGCCTCTGGGTGGACTTGAACCACCAATCTTTTGGTTAGTAGCCGAGCACATCAACCATTTGCACCCCCCTGGGACTCCATAGAACACATAGTCTCTCAGAAACCGTGTCACAAGCCAGAATTCGGTGGTGTCCTCTTTGGGTGCTTGGGGGAACTCTCCATAAACCCGTTGCCCGCAAGTCAATTCCAACTCATAGAGACCCTATAGGACAGAGTAGAACTGCCCCATAGGGCTTCCAAGGAGCAGCTGGTAAATTCGAACTGCCGACCTTTTGGTTACTAGCCGAACTCTTAACCACTGCACCATCAGGGCTCAGAGGAGTTTATATGAGGAAAGGTCTGAGGAAAATTAATTGAAATTCTAATGGGCTGAACACCCTAAAAATGTTGGTGAGGTATGCGTGATGTTCCTGCCTCCCACCCAACCCTCCCCTTCGGTGAAGGGGGGTACACCTGCTAGAAAGAAACCTGACTCCTCTCACTGTGTTTTAAAAATAACTCTTATTATTCCTCCTCTGAGGGTTATTTTCAAACTCTTATAACTAGATTTTTTTTTTTTTAATGCAAAGAAGGAATTAAATCCACTAACTTTCTATCGGAGAGACTCAAGTTTCTAACTTGTAAGGCAGGTTCCTATTTCTTCTCCAATACACAGGCCCTCCTGTGTCCACGAAGTGCTGTCGATTCATTTTTTTAAAGCCCTTTGAGTAAATATGTTCTTTCATGTGGCAACTAATGTGGGCAAGGGAAGGCTTGGGCATTCCCTGGAAAACCAGTGCCTTCTTGGAGTATCATAAAAATCGGTGGCTCGCTGTTGGTCGAGAATTCTGGAAGGAGTGACTCCCGTGGCTTGTGGCCCCTCAGTCCCCTGGCCATCCCCGAGGATCCAGGCTGCCTCCCTGCCCACCCTCAGCACCCTCCTGGGTGTTGTCCCTTTGCTGTCTGGGGGCCACATGGCTGACCTAGTGGCCCGAGTCACTGCCACGTCCTGACACCATAAAAAGCCAAGGACTGCAGCTCCGAATGGAGCTGGAATGAATGGTTTCTGTTCCGGAACAATTCTGAGACCCAAGAAAGTGTCCACGAAAATAAAGCACACTGCCTTTCCTGCACGAGGAGCCCCAGATGCTGCCTGGGCTGACCGGCTGGTGCTGTGCCCGGCGGTGCGGGGCAGCGAGTCTGTCCTCACAGGCTCTTCTACACGCCTGACTTCAACCTGTTTGTCCAGATTGTGTTTCAGCTGCAGATGCTGGTGTTATGGGTTGAATTGTGCCCTTCCTCCCAAAGATTTGTTGAAGCCCTAACCCCCAACACCTGTGAATGTGACCTTATTTAGAAATAGAGTCTTTGGAGATGTTATAAGTTAGGTTAATATGAGGTCATACTGGAATAAGAACCAAAAACCAAACTCATTGCTGTCGAGTTGATTCTGACTCATAGCGACCCTATAGGACAGAGTAGAACTCCCATAAGGTTTTCAAGGAGCGGCTGGTGGAATCAAACTGCCAACCTTTCGGTTAGCAGCCAAGCTCTTAACCACTGCGCCACTGGGGCTCCATACTGGAGTAAGGGGGTCCTAATCCTATATGAAGGAGCCCTGGTGTTGCAGTGGTTAAACACATGGCTGCTAACCAAAAGGTTAGTGGTTCGAACCCAGCTTCTCTGCAGGAGAAAAGACCTGGCGATCTGCTCCCATAAAGATTTACAGCCTAGGAAACTCTATGGGTCAGTTCTACTCTGTCCAATAGGGTCACTATGAGTTGGAATCGACTTAACAGCACACAACAACAGAAATCCTACAAGAGTGATGTCCTTATAAAAGAGAACAGATGCAGAGACGGGGACACAGAAGAAGGGCGCCATGTGATCTTGGTGCCACCAGAAGCTAGGAGAGGGGCACAGAACAGTGTCTCTCCCAGAGCCTCAGAAGGAACCAACATGACCGATACCTTGATTTGGACTTCTAGCCTCCAGAACTGTGAGACGAGACCTTTCCATTGTTATAAGGCCCCTGGTTTGTGGTATTTTGTTATGCAGCCCTAGGACACTAAGACAGCTTGTTTAGCAACAAAGGCTGACGTAGCAAATCCTACCGCACAGAGTTGTTGAATTAGCACGTTGTCCCACACTCCTTCTACAGAAAGTAGAGCCTTTCCAGAGCTCCAGCGGAAGGTGAGAGGCTTTCAGCTTCAGGAGCGAGTGGGCTGAGTGGGAGGTGATGTCTAGAATTTTTCCAGTTTAGGACTCCCCTGCATCACCTCCAACGCAACCAGGTTGGTCTCTTCACTTTTCTGCGTGGTGAGACCCCAGGCTTCTCATGTCACCCCTCCTTTGGAGTGCAGCCCCCTCCTCACCATCTAGGAAATCCTACTTACTCTCTGTGCACACTGTTTGATCGTCTCACTCATCATCCTCTTTTCCTGACTCTTGCTGCAATTAGCACCTTCCCTATTTTTTAATGCAGAATTCAGTCTGCAATTACTATGTAATAAATACTCTATGCGTAGCACTCTACTAGGCACTTTAAATGCTTAGTCTCCTTTACTCTTCACAACATCTCGATGATGTTGTTGTTGTTATGTTAGCTGCTATTGAGTAGGCCCCCCACTCATGGTGACCCCACGTACAACAGAAAGAAACCCTGCCTGATCCTGTGCACCATCCTCATATCGGTCGTGCACTATATCAGACAATATTCTGTTGTGATCCATAAGAGTTTCATTGGCTAATTTTTGGAAGTAGATTACCAGGTCTTTCTTGCTAATCCGTCTTAGTCTGGAAGCGCCACAGAAACTTGTTCAGCATCAAGGCAACACTCAAGCCTCCACTGACAGATGGTGGTGGCTGTACATGAGGTGCATTGGCCGGGAACCAAACCCAGGTCTCCTGCATGGAAGGCCAGAATTCTACCTCTGAACCACAAATGACCTCCACTCTGCAATTACTATGTAATAAATACTTGCTCTGTGCATATCACTCTACTAAGTGCTCTAAATGCTTAATCTCAATGAATCTTCACAACATCCTTATGATGATGCAGGTACTATCATAATCTCTATTTTACAGAGAAATCAGTCTTAGTGAAATTTATTAACTTACCTAAGGCTTCCAGTTTATAAATTGAAGCAAGGATTTGAATCAAGCTTCCTCTGCACCTGGAGCCCTAGATTTTATATTAACGCTTGATTCTCATACATCTTGTCTCCCCAACTCTCTGAGGACCGGGACCATGCCTTTCACCTTTTTGTATTCCCCATAGTACTGAGCACTTAATATATGCTCAATAAATACTTACATTTGATTGGTTAGTAGAGCTGAGTTTTTATTCTCAGGCACCTAAACACAGCCCTGCACACAAAGTTTCAAAGATGCACTAATTGTACAAAAAACCAAAAACCAAACCAAACCCGTTGAGTCGATTGCGACTCATAGCGACTCTATAGGACAGAGTAGAACTGCCCTATAGAGTTTCCAGGGAGCACCTGGTGGGTTCAAACTGCTGACCTTTTGGTTAGCAGCTATAGCACTTAACCACTACGCCACCAGGGTTTCCAGCTGTACAAATGATACTAATATTAATGGTTCTAATTGTAACCACTAGCATTTGTCTCTTTCTTTATAAACAAAATGTTCATGATGATTTAACTAGATTATAAAAGGAATCTTGTCAGTTAGCAGAGTTTCTATTATGATTGTCCCCATTTTAGGTATCAGAAGGTTGAATGAGTTCAGAGATGTTGAATGAGTTGCCCATGATTTTCTTCACAGTTTTGGAGGCTAAAATTCCACATCAGTTTCTTGACCGTATTGATTCCATCTGTGAGCCTCTCTCCTCGTTTCTGGAGTTTGCTGGCAATCTTTGGTGTTCCTTTGCTTGTAGACATCTTCTCAGATAGCATCTATCTTCACCCTGTGTATATCTCTTTGTCTATTCTACTCTTTTCATAACTCAGAAGTGATTTGGATTTAGGACCCATCTTACTCTGGTATGGAGCCCCGATGGTGCAGTGGTTGAGAGCTATGGCTGCTAACAAAAGGTTGGCAGTTTGAATCCACCAGCTGCTCCTTGGAAACCCTATGGAGCAGTTCTGCTCTGTCCTATAGGGTCGTTATGAGTCGGAATCGACTTGAGGGCAACTGGTTTGGTTTGGTTGGCCTCGTTAGCCTAGCAAAAGAAAACCACGATTTCCAAACAGGGTTATATTTATAGGTTCAGGGGTTAGGACTTTAACATAACTTTTTGGGGGACACAAGTCAATCCATAATGACACCTCGATGTTCTTCTCTCTGTCATCAGCCACATTTCCAAAATGCAGGCTGCATTATGCTGCACTCTGGCAATAGCCGCTAGAATAAAACCCAAACTCTGGGAGTGGCATTCGAGGCTCATTGTGATCTGGCCTCCAACTGCCTGTCAGCTTCATGTCTCACTGTTTTCTGTTCCTCATACACACAGTGCACTGTGATCCTCCCATGCCTGTGCTTGTGCTGTTCTGTCGCTTCTGTCCAGCAAAATCCTTTTTCATTAAGCCCCATCTTAAAAACCTCCCTGGAATCTCTGAGTCAGAATGAATCTCTTTGAGTTTCACACATAGGAAAGGTCTTCCTGTCCATGAAGTGCACGCTTGGTTCTGCTTACTGATAGTAATTATATGCCCATATTCTTCTGCACCAGGTTGTGAGCTCCTGGGTCCATCATTGTACTTTTGAAAGGTCCTTGCTCAATTGCGTTTTGAAATGCTTCACCACAGCCAGCCTTTTCTGCTGTCTTACAGATTGAAGGACTAGTGAAGGACATGCAGAGCCCAGAGACGGGGGTCCGAATGCAGAACCAGAGGGTCCTGGTCACCAACGTCCCTCATGCCATGACAGGTGATGTATTCTGCAACTCAGTCTTGGCCTGGAACAGATCACATGCAGTGGTTGGCAAACTATGGCCTTCAGGAAAATTTGCCACAGCTGCATCTTAAATGACGTGGGGGACAGTAAAGTCACCCTTAAAAGTCTGCCTGTCAGTTCTGCTCTTTGGGGAGCTACTCTGGTCTCTAGCCACAGCCTGTGTTTGTAAATAAAGTTTTACTGGCACACAGCCAGGCCATATTGTCTATGGCTTCTGTCTTAGTTATCTAGTGCTGCTATGACAGAAATACCACGAGTGGATGGCTTTAACAAACAGAAGTTTATCTCTCACAGTCTAGTAGGCTAGAAGTCCAAATTCAGGGCGTTAGCTCCAGGGGAAGGCTTTCTTTGTCAGCTCTGAAGAAAGGTCCTTGTCATCAATCTTCCCCTGGACTAGGAGCTTCTCAGCCTAGGGACCCCAGGTCTAAAGGATGCGTGCTGCTGGAGCTGCTTTCTTGGTAGTATGAGGTCTCCATGTCTCTCTGCTCACTTCTCTCTTTTCTATCTCAAAAGAGATTGGCATAAGACACTATCTAATCTTGTAGAGCTCGTCAATGTAACTGTCTATAATCCATCTCATTAACATCATAGTGTTAAGATTTATAAAACATAAGGAAATCACATCGGATGACAAAATGGTAGACAATCATACAATACTGGGAATCATGACTAGCCAAGTTGACAGATATTTTTTGGGGACACAATTTGGTCCATGACAGCTTCTTTCACAACAGCAGGGTTGGGTAGTTGTGACAGACACCAGAGACCTGATGCTCCATAAAGTTGAAAATATTTACTGTCTGGCCCTTTACAGAATAAGTTTACTGACCCTGGATTACAGTCTCCTCCTGAGGGAGGGATCAGGGAGGAAGGAGAAAAGGACTCAATAGGTCACTTCTTGAAGCCATTCCACCCAAGAGGTCATCACTAAAAAATCTTTACTGTAGTTGCCTTTTTGTTTATTTTGTTTTTAATGACATCAGATAGCAAAAACAAAATAATGCCCCCAAAAAACCATGTTTGGAAAAAATAGAAAAAAACTAGACTTTGTCTTGCTCCATTCTTCCCTACCTTCTAACTCATATTTAGACCCTTCTTAAGTACCCGCCGGAGCACCGGTGGTGTGGTGGTTAAGAGCTCGGCTGCTAACCAAAATGTTGGCAGTTCAAATCCACCAACCATTCCTTGGAAATCCTATGGGGAAGTTCTACTCTGTCCTATAGGGTTGTTATGAGTCGGAATCAACTCGACAGCAACGGGTAACTCAGGTAACTCGACGGCAACAGGTAACCTCCTAGGGACGGCACCATGGTCTCCTCTCTCCGTGTGGGGTAAAAGGCTTGCTGATCATCATTGGAGGCTATTGTCGGAAGAGACTGGATGCCAAAATAAGAACGTGTATATGTATATATATATATATAATTCTTTTTTTTATTGTAGATGAAGGTTTACAGAACAAGTAGTTTCTCATTAAACAGTTAGTACACATATTGTTTTATGACATTGGTTAACAAACCCACAACATGTCAATAATCTCCCTTCCTGACCTTGGGTTCCCTATTACCAGCTTTCCTGTCCCCTCCTGCCTTCTAGTCCTTGTCTCTGGACTGTTGTGCCCCATTAGTCTCATTTTGTTTTATGGGGCTGTCTTGTCTTTGGCTGAAGGGTGAACCTCGGGAGTGACTTCATTACTGAGCTAAAAGAGTGTCCAGGGGCCAAACACTCAGGGTTTCTCCAGTCTCTGTCAGGCCAGTAAGTCTGGTCTTTTTATGTGAGTTAGAGTTTTGTTCTACATTTTTCTGCAGTTCTGTCCGGGACCCTCTTAATAACATATTTTGATCAATGTGTTTTATTTATGATCGTGCATTTGTAGTAGAATGTATCTTTTGTATGGAGGCATATTGCTACTAGGCCATGCTGGTGAGGCCTCACTCTCTGCCGCACCCATGACCTGACTATTAATTTTTCATTCAAGGCACCCTTATCTTTGCAGGGGCAAGCTGGCTGTTCCCCTTTTTGACTGCGTGGAAGAAAGGGTGCCCCCACCTACAATGTGTCACTCAGGGTTCCTTGAGTGCAAGCAACAGAAGACCAACTCTGTCTAGTTGAAGCAAAAAAAGAATTGATCAGAATGCTACAGGGCAGGTCTCAAACACATAAAGGAAAAATCGATGAACCTGACTTGGGAAAGGCTAGAGACCAGAGTGAGGAGCCCTGGTTGCACAGTGGTTAGGAGCTGGGCTGTTAACCAAAAGGTTGGCAGTTCGAATCCACCAGCTGCTCCTTGGAAATTCTATGGGGCAGTTCTACTCTGTCCTACAGAGTCGCTGTGAGTCAGAATTGGCTCGATGGCAGTGGGTTTGGTTTCTTTTGGTTTAGCATTGTACAAGTGTCCAGCACTGGGGGATGCTCGATGGATGGTGAGAGCTAACCCTCTCCACGAGCTGTATTAGTTAACACCCACAGCAAAGTTAGTTGTAGATATGACAGTCCACTTTTTGTAGATGGGGCAGTTGAGATGCAAAGAGGGTCAACAACTTGCTCCATGTTACTAGGCTAACATGTGACCGAGCCTGGGTTGCAGCCCAGCAGTGTTACTCCAGACAGAGGCAGCGGTGGTTCAGTGGGAGAATTCTCTCCTTCCAGGCAGGAGACCTGGGTTAGATTCCCAGCCAGTGCACCTCATGTGCAGCCACCACTCATCTGTCAGTGGAGGCTTGTGCGTTGCGGTGATGCTGAATAGGTTTCAACGGAGCTTCCAGGCTAAGATGGACTAGAAAGAAAGGCTGGGAGATTTGCTTGTGAAAATCAGCCCATGAAAACCCTATTGACCATAATGGCCCAATATGCAACTGATCATGGGGATGATGCAGGACTAGGCAGCATTTTGTTCCACTGTGCACGGGGTCACCATGAGTTGGGGGCCAACTCCACAGCAGCTAGCAACAATGGCACGTCACTCCAGGATCCACACTCTTATCCACCATCACCATGCACAAGCTGCCTTTCTTCCTTGTACTCTGGGTGCATTTGGTCCTTGGATTTGGACAAGATGCCACCCCTGCCTTCTTTGTCCTTACCCCTCCTGCCAGGGTGAATCTCAGCTGCTGTAGGCACAGAACCCACAGTGAAGCCCTAGTCCTGCAACGTCAGCACTAACAAAAGCAAGTTGGATAATCGGCCATCTGACTCCTTGGGGTGACAGGTGACCCAGAGCTTCCTGGGGATGAAGGTGGCTGACAAAGGAGTCTGAGCAGCTTACGTGCTGCCAGCAGAGGCCACATGGTGCAGACGCCGGTGGCCCCATAATCGTATTTGCTCTATTTCAGGAAGCAGTCAAGTGGATGAAAAACCCTTGGCTCCTCGGTGGAGAGAGCTAATCAGTCTTCTGTCTGCCTGGGTCCCTTCTAGGTCTGCTCACCATGGTGTAGCATTTAAAGCAAGACTGGGAGTGGAAAGTCTGAAACACCCAGTCCTAGCATTTAAAGTAGAATCTGAGATGAAGAATTTTGCTTCTGAGCAGCCCAAACCAGAACAAACCCAGTTGTCGTCGATTCGATTCTGATTCATGGCGATCTATGTTTCAGAGTAGAATTGCCATCCATAGGATTTTCATGGCTGTGACCTTTTGGAAGCAGATTGCCAGGCCTATCTTCTGAGGTGCCTCTGGGTGGGTTCCAGCTGCCAACCTTTCAGTTAGTAGCCCGGAGCTTAACCGTTAGTGCCTCCTGGGGACTCTTTTTGAGCAGTCAACTAGGGGTGAATACAGCTAAGAGCAACAGAAGGAGAACCCATTGAAAGCAAGAGTGATGAGCTTGGGAGAGGTAACAGAGAGAATGGCTGAACATTTAGGCCCCCAGGTGCGGATATGGAAGAAGGAGTTACAGGTTGTCCACACCTAACCATGGATGTGGGCAAGTAATTAGACCAGAGAGAGCGTGAGTGGGCTTATGGGCCTCTCTGGAGGATTCCAGAAGACTCGCCCTTCACCACCCCCAAGCAGGAGAGTGTCATTTGTGACTGTCCAGTCACAGGGCACAGGCACTCGGGTCTCAGGCCCTGAGCTTCCCTCTTGGGCTACCACCCTCTTTGGTATGGTTTGCAGGCCGGTTCCCATGCAGGCAGGGGACCCCACTTGGCCTTGGAAACGACTGTAGCCACAGGAAAATGTGGTCATTGGCATTTGTGAGGTGACATCTGAGTTGGGGTGCTTGGTTCCAGGGACTCAGTCTTGCTTCTGAGATGATGCCATCCTCCTACAAGAAGCACACTCTGCTTATGGAACTGATTCCCGGCCAAAGCACCTCCTGCAGCCACCGCCCCTCTGTCCATGGAGGCTAGTGTGCTGCGTTCATGCTGAACAGGTTTCAGCATAGCTTCTAGACTAAGATGGACTAGAAAGGCCTGGAGATTTACTTGTGAAAATCTATGAAAACCTTATGGATCACAGTGGTCTAATATACAGCTAATCATGGGGATGGCTCAAGACCAGGCAGAGCCCAATGGTACTCTGTAGCAGCTCTAGACTTGATGGCAGAACTTGGCTTGCCTTGGCCCCTAGACAAAATCTGAATCCTTTGGGAGAGGTTGGAAGGAGCCCAGTTATCTCTTGACTTCATCCCTGCCTGCCTCCCTGCTCTTTTTCATGCCACTGTGATGGCGCAGTGGTTAAGCATTTGGCTGCTAACTAAAAGGTTGGCAGTTCGAATCCACCAGCCACACCTTGGAAATCCTATGGGGAGCTCTACTCTACTCTGTCCTATAGGGTCGCTATGAATAGGAATTGACTGGACTGCAACCGGTTTGGGTTATTTTTTTGGTGCATTATTCCCAGGCCGTCCTAGGATTTGCAGGGCCCAGGGCAAGAGTAGAAATGGAGGCCAAGGTATCATATGTCTAAGGTTACAAATCAACCTACAAAGTGTTACCTAAATACGTCCCATCCTCCCACCTTGACAAAGGAATCATCAGAAAGACCTGGAAGGCCAGGTTTGAATTTAGAATTCCCCGGCTCCTCAGAGTTCTGGTCATAGCAGACCCCCCAATCTCATCCCTTCTCCTACGGCAGCTCTGTTTTACTCCTGTGTGTCCAAGCTCCATTCAGAGCCCCCCAAATAGCCACCTCAGTCTCTGTGTTTCCATTGTTAAGACTTAGTCTGTTTACTTTCTGGTTGATGACAGACAGTCCATGCACAAATTATTGTATGTAAAAAATAAGTACCCTAAAAGAGGTCAAGATTGGGTGTGTGGAGGGGAGATTAAGCTGGAAATCTATCTGGAGCGAGATCATGGATGACCCTGAATTATAGGCTGTGGAGTTTGGACTGACTGAAATAGGGAGTCCCTGAAGGTTTGGAGCTGGACAGGGACAAGATCAACTCTGAGCAGCAAGGAGGACGATGAGCCAACAGTGTGCAGGAGGACGTGGAGGCTGGACATGTGTCAGGATGCTATGACGATGGCCAAATATTCTTGTTTTACAGGAAGTGATGTTCTACAGTGGATCATCGATCGGCTGTGGATCTCCAATATGGGTAAGATTCCATCCAGCACTCCATTACTGAGGACTGCTGTGTGCACAGCAAAGTCTCCGGGTGGTGCAAACAATTAACATGCTCAACTGCTAACCAAAATGTTGGAGGTTCAAGTCCACCCAGAAGCACCTCAGAAGAAAGGTCTGGCAATCTACTTCCAAAAAACCAGCCATTGAAAACCCTATGCAGCACAGTTATACTCTGACACACGTGGGGACCCCATGAGTTGGAGTAAACTCAACAGCAACTGGTGTGCACAGCACCACATGCGACTCTTCAGAGGGCAGAAACTCAGTGGAGGCTTAGTCTGTGTCTCTGAGAAATTTACATGTTAGTTGTTGAGACAAGATCTTCATGTGTGAAATAACCAGAATCAAAAGCTAAGGCATGATCATTTGGGGACAAAATATTGAGAGAATGTAAATAACGTTGTAATTGGGGAGGAGTCAACAGGAAAGACTTCTTGGAGGGAATGATGCATACAGCTGGTTTTGAAAGAAGAGATGCTTATATATGGGGGGAAAAGGAGCGTGGAGGGTATTCCCGGAAGGGGACTCTAGCAAGAACAGTGTCACAGAAATGGAGGAACAAGAACTGGAGTGGGTGGTAACGAGGGAAATTGAGAGTAATGACTTTAGCTGGGTATGGAGTGGTGAAGAGTGGGACTGTACCAGGAATATTTGCAGTTCCAAGTTTCATCCAGGAGATAGGCAGTAGGAAGCCATGGGAGAACTCATAGTGACCCTACAGGACAGAGTAGACCTGCCCTCTAGAGTTTCCAAGGAGCGACTGGTGGATTTGAGTTGCCAGACTTTTGGTTAGCAGCCATAGCTCTTAACCACTACACCACCAGGGCTCCATAATTGTCATATTGAATCTAGGAGGTTTGGCAGCAATTTGAAAGATGGATTGGAGCAGAAAGAATCTGGGGACCAGCATTCCCACTAGAAAAAAGTTGTTTGTATCACAAAGCATTAAAAAAAAAAAAATGAGGATCTGCTCATGATGAAGAGAGTGGGCTTGAAGAGGGAGCATCAGGAAGGAAGTCTTCCCAAGCCCTGGAGCCTGAGCAGGGATGGGATGATGAGAGGGCAGAATGATTCTGGAGGGTTGGTAGAGCTGAATCCTCTACCCAGCATGGAAAGATGCAGGTTTTCAATGGTGCTTTGGCCACAAAGGCTTCTAAGACAGAACCAGGAAGATTTTCCTTTAATTGCTGCAAATCCAGAAACAAGGCTATGTTTCCAGACAAACTAGAGAGGTATGGGAATTAAAGTGAGGCGGGGAGGAGCAGGACGATCTGGACCTGTGATGCAGGCAGAGCTGAGTTTGAGAGAGAAGTTGACAATAGCTTCTCTTTGAGTGAGGAAGAGTGTGGGCCAAGCAGAAACATTATCTCCCCATTCCCATGGCAGTCTCCAGACCCAAGGGCCTGAAGAAGCTTCTCCAAGATTTCCCCAGGGGTCACCTCAAACCACCTATGTAAGACCACCTATGGCATTGGTTAAAATTCAGGTTCCCAGGCTCCACTCCAGACATACTGAGTTGTCATGCTGGGCTGTGGCTGGGCATCCTCCTTTTTGCATGCTCCTAGCTGATACTTTCCTCAGTAAGGTCCAGAGACCACTGTCCTCATTCCTTAAATGCAGCGCTATAGGACGGGGCATATCTCCTGTAGTTTGGGGTGGTCTGTGGAGGCTGGTCGATAAGGCTTCTGTCTTTGGGCCCCTGCTCTTAACTTTCATGTCTGAACTTCTTCCTCCCAGAGGCCCAGAACTTGGGCAACTTTATTGTCAAGTATGGCTACATTTATCCCCTGCAAGACCCCAAGAATCTTGTTCTCAAGCCTGATGGCAGCCTCTACCGATTTCAGGTGAGTCTTGGCCTTAACCTTAGGTGTACTCCCATGGGTTGCCATCTTACTGAAAAGATAAGTGGTTGGCTTCATAGTCTCAGTGATTAGAACTTTTGAAATGGTAGAGGGGGCTAAGGTGTAGACTTATCTCTTAAGTCACAGAGCTGGGAGTGCATGGAGTCACAACCAAGGGTCTAAGTGTGGTTCCCTGGTTTCTTTTATAGACGCCATATTTCTGGCCCACCCAGCAGTGGCCAGCTGAAGATACAGACTACGGTAAATCTTGGCCCCTATATTTGCCTTGAGTAGTGTTTAGTGTGCTGTTTGTTTACTTGCTGCATTCTGGTGACCTTTGTCTTGCTGTCATCATGAGCTTTATGTCAGTTCACATCTGTGTTTGGAGTGTTCCCAGGGGAAGGGACCCAGTCTGCTGAGCAGTCTCTCTACCAAGCTGAGCACAACAGCCTCATGCATGAGGAGACTGCAGATGCGGTTTTGAATTATGATAATGATGGAAAATGCCAGTGTTTTCTCTTCCAGCCATCTATCTAGCCAAGCGAAATATCAAGAAGAAAGGGATTTTAGAAGAATATGAGAAGGTACAAAGATGATTTCAATCTTTCTGGATTTGTGAAGGTCTGCTGCTGAATACTGAGTTTCTGTATTCTTCTTCATCGCCAATCTTCTCTTCCTAATCAGATTTGGGATATATTTATTTTTTTAAAGCAAATCCAAGCAAAGTAAGGCTTTGAATGAACACCATTGCCGAGCTAGGGTGGGAGTCGATTTGCCTGGGATGGAGCTGCTGCGGAGCCAGGGGCACACCCTGGTTGACTTAGGACTTCTGGCTCTGCTGCGTGCACATATGTCATGAGGCTCAGTGTTCTCATTTTATTTTTCCTTCTCTAGGAAAATTACAATTTCTTGAACAAGAAGATTAACTACAAGTGGGACTTTGTCATTATGCAGGCCAAAGAGCAGTACAGGTGAGTGAGAGGAGATCACGTTTGTCCTCTGCTTGGCCTTCCTCTCTCCTTTGTTTCCTTCTATTAAAAGAAATCTTTATTGGGCATTTATGTGTCAAACACTGGGCACAGGGAATAGAAAGACACAGTCCATATTTGATCATATTTTTCTTTCAGTCCTCAAACCTTTTCTTCCTCCACTATTGCCCATATCTGTACAAGGAACCACCATCCACCTCCGTCCTCCTGCCTCACGTCCGATCAGTCATTCAGTCCTGTTACCACCACTAGTGAAATCCCTTCCACTAACCTGACTCCTTCTGTCTGCTTCCACCGTCCCTACCCTGGTTGAGCCAACCTCACTGTCAGTTGAACCACTGTGGTATCCTCCCAACTGGACTCCCTGTTCCCATTTGCCTCCATTTTTCAAACACTAATAGGATCAAGTCACTCCCTTCAAAGAAGCTATCAGAGAGTTCTCAGTTCCAGTGTCACTTCCTCAAAGATGCTCTTCTGATTAGTTATTGCTGTATATAGACCACCTGAGAACTTAGTGGCTCAAAACAGCAACAATTATTTTATCATCTCTCACAGTTTCTGTGGGCCAGGAATTCATGAAGGACTCAGTTGGGAAGTTCTGACTTGGAGTCTCCAAGTGGTTGCAATCAGACAGCTGGAGCTGAGGGCTGGCTGGACATTTCTTACTCCCCTTTTGTAGCCTCTGGGCCTCTCCATGTGATTTAGCTTGGGCTTCCTCACAACATGGCCGCATCAGGGCAATTGGATTGATTACATGTAGCTGAAGGCATATATCAAAAGCAAATATTCCAGTGAGGAAGGTGGCAGCTGTCCCACCTTTTATGGCCCAGCCTCACAAGTCACACAGTGACACTCCTGCCATACTCTGTTGGTTGAAACAGTCACAAAAGCCAACCCAGTTTCAAGGGGAGGGGACATAGACTTGCATCTCAATGGAAAAAGTGTCAAAGAATTTGTAGACAAGTTTAAAAATCACCACCAATCAGGCTATCCTTGATTCCACATTATAGTACCATGAACGTTTCCTTATTGCACACAGGTGTTGTTGTTGTTAGGTGCTGTTAAATTGCTTCTGACTCACAGTGACCCTATATACAACAGAGCAAAACATTGCTGGGTCCTGCACCATCCTCACAGTCCTTGCTATGTTGAGACCATTGTTGCAGCCACTGTGTCAGTCCACCTCATTGAGGGTATTCCTTTTTTTCACTGACCCTCTACTATACCAAGCATGACGTCCTTCTCCAGGAACTGGTCCCTCCAGATAACATGTTCAAAGTACGTAAGATGAAGTCTCTCCATCCTTGCTTCTAAGGAGCATTCTGGCTGTACTTCTTCCAAGACAGATTTGTTCGTTCTTCTGGCAGTCCATGATATATTCAGTATTCTTCGCCAACACCATAATTCAAAGGCATCAATTCTTTGGTCTCCTTTATTCATTGCCCAGCTTTCACATGCATATGAGATGATTGAAAATACCATGGCTTGTACCAGGCACACCTTAGTCGTCAAAGTGACATCCTTGCTTTTCAACACTTTAAAGAGGTCTTTTTCAGCAGATTTACCCAACACAATGCATCCTCTGATTTCTTGACTGCTGCTTCCATGGGTGTTGACAACTTCAGTATTTTCTCCATTTATCATGACGTTGCTTATTGGTCCAGTTGTGAGGATTTTTGTTTTCTTTATGTTTATCACATGTACTGCAATTTGTAATTCTATAGTTCTTGACTATTTGTGCAATGTTTAGACCACAAGCTATTCTAGGGCAGGATCTATGTCTCTTTGGTTCAATAATATACTCTCAGTGCCTGGAACATAATGGAATCTCAGTAAGTACATGAATGAATAAATGAATGAATGAATGATTAAGGGAATGCTGTTCTAAAAACAAAAACAAAAACAAAAATAAAACCCATAATAAGCTAAAATAATTCCAAGTTTACTGGCTTTCTCAGATTCCATTTATCACAACTCTCCTCCAATGACACGTATCACAGAAAAGCAAAGCTACAAAGAACCATGGGGGTAATATAGCAATTGACTCTTTACAAAACTGTCCAGTGTTATGGAAACTCTGTAGTGCCTCAGGCCCTCTGTGGCTCATCCTCCTGAAGACATGAGCTTGTTAGCCTGGTAGAAAATCTAGTTAGTCGGCAAGGGGAAGTTAGAGCAACCATGTTTATATTTCATTTCTAGACAAGGTTGGTCAAATACCCCACTGGAATGGCCCTGCTCACCCCATCTGGCTCTCTGGGTGTTATTCACGATACATTAGCTGGAAAACAAATCCACTCATTCTGCCTCGTAGAGGGAATGTGCGTCATCGCACATTGCCTGGGAAAATAAGACTTGCTGAGTGTGAGTTTAGGTCGCCGTGGAAATGGTGCTGAACGAGGCCCATGGAGCGATCATTAGTGCTACCTTTCTCAGGCAGAAGAAAAGCCCAGCATCATTTCCTACCCACAATGGGAGAAGGGGAGCCTGAGAGATAAAAGGCGCGAAAAATAGCCTTTTACAGTTGTAAGTTGGGCTCAGAGAAAGCCCTGACTTGGCATGAACTCTTTCCAGTGACAGAGTGGAACTGACAGGTAGGGAGGAAGGAGGACTCCCCGGGGCCAGCATTTTCCCCATCACAAGCTTTGGCTTTGATTGCTGCCTGCTTGTTCAGATGTTGGTTATGCTTTTTGCCAAAGCAGGGAAAAATTACAAAGCCAGGTGGTCAAATGCCAGCCCAAAATTTTATTTGTTTCTCACTCTAGCAGTGAAGTCAGTGGAGTTGATTTGATTCTAGGGCTAATCACGGGGGCAGGATTGCACTGCAGCTCAGTGTTGTCAGCGAAAGTGTGGACTCTGGGCCAAATCTCTACCACCGCCATCACCTCTACCACCTCCACCTCCTCCACCAACTCCACCTCCACCTCCACCACCAACTCCACCTCCACCTCCACCACCACCACCCCCATTATCTTCACCACCTCCAGCACCCCCACCACCTCCACCACCTCCACCACTGCTTCTACCGCTTGCTCACAATATGATACTGGGTGGGAAATTCAACCTCTCTTTTCTTTTGTTCCCTGTTCTGTGAAGTGAGGAAGGGTCACTGGAAGGGTTAAATGAGTTCATAAAGTAAAAGAAGTTAGAAGGGACCTGACACTTAAGTGCCACATTAGAGTTTGCTGTTTTTATTATTATTATGGCAAACGCAGATTATTTGGGCAGATTGAAGAGCGTGGTTCAGGTGATTAGGGAGGGGGCCATCAATGACCAAAAGACACAAAGTATCACTGGCCTTAAATATGACTTTTGATTTTTCAGGGCTGGAAAAGAAAGGAACAAAGCAGACAGGTATGCCCTGGATTGCCAGGAGAAGGCATATTGGCTGGTCCACCGATGCCCTGTGAGTATTATCCTTCCCGACTTTCAGCATCTCTTCTTGTGCCTCTCCACCCCTACCCCGTACGCACTGTCCTTCTGCCAGCTCATCTCCCTTGGGGCTAGAGTTGGATCAGCAGGAGGAGCCGCCCAGTGTTGGGTTAGCATCCAAGTGCCTCTTGGCTGGAAGAGGAAGTACACTGTCTGGGTGGGGTCTACTCATGGCCCATCTGTTGGTGTTAGGAGTAAGTGGGATTGTCTAAGGGAGGGAGCCGAATGAGTTTGTCTATTATGAAGCCTGGGACTTTCTATTGGCCAGCATGCCATGTCTTGGAAAAGGTATATAAGAAGAAAAAACCAGAACTCAGACTTCAAAGTAGAAAAATCAAATGCTACAGAAAACTGAAACTGCATAGCCAAGGCCACGCTTCGTGTCTGTTGCTTCCTCTCCTTTTCCTCTCCTGGATCCAGTGTCCGGGAATTGAGATAGGAGGAGGAGATAAGGGAATAAGCTTGTGCTAAGCTTCTCATGGCATGGAGGACATTGCATCTCTGGTTTTGGCACTTTTAGTGACTCAGAGAAATAAGCTGCACATGACCGAGCATAACTTGTCCCAGCTCATCACTGGGAAATGGAAGTCTCCTTCCCCAGCACAGAGAACCAGGTGCAGACTGCCACCCACTGTGGTCAACACTGGTGCCTCAGTCTCCTCCTGTGTCAGACCATGTGCTGCCTACTGATCAGGGGGAATGGGAGATGTGAAAGGGATTCTGGAAAGGGAAGAGCTGGAAACAAATGTTCCTCCTCCTCCCCGTCCTTCAGTTTCTTGCTTGCCAGGCTTCTGAAATTCTCAGAGCCAGAAAGTGAACTGGCTAGTCCCGGTGTCAGAGCTTATGGGTTTTTAAACTTCAGGTCCATCAGATTTTGACTGTTCTGTTTATTTTCTTTCTGTATTCAAAACCAATTCCCTTAGGTGTTCCATCTGTCCAGGCATCTATTTGAATGCCTTGTTGCTGAGGTTAAAGTCCTGGGGTTGATGCCCAAGCAGCTTTCTTGGTTTTGCTTTGTTTCAGGGCTCTGCCTCTGGGTAAACCAGTGTGCAAATGCCTGACATGGGTCCCTGGGTACTGAGTGGCTGAGCACAGGATCCTGGACAGACTGGCTTGTACATGCCTCTCTACTGGTAGCTCAGGAGTGAGAGCTTTGTATGAGAAGGGAACAGCACATTGCTTGTCCTGTACTTGGTTATCTGTTCCAGAAGAGGGGAGCCTTGCTGAGGCTAAGGGAGATGGGAGGATAGGTCACTCATTTGGCAAGATCCCCGGTGACCAGTGGCACCCATGTCTGAGGGAATCCTGCTCCTTGCAGGGTGGAGAATGGCTTTTATAATGCATGTGGAGACGCTGCAGTGTGGAAATGCCCATGTGACTGCAATCTTGCAAAGTCACAGTTACTGATTCTGCACATGATCTGCCAAGGGCCCTCTCTGCTCCCATCCTGACTGGAAAAACAGATCATCTGAGTTCTCCCTTGTTCTCCTAGAGTAAGTTCTCAGCCCCCACATCAGGCCAGTGCCTGAGTGGCCCCTCACAGTACGATACAGAGGTACATGAACATCACAATGTGTCTCCACCACCACCACCTCCACCATCTCCATCACCTCCACTATCACCACCACCATTGTCTCATCTTCACCTCCATCACGACCACCTCCACAACCACCACCTCTCCCACCCCCACCTCAACCACCTCTACCACCTCTGCCTCCACCACCTCCGTACCTCCACTACCACCATTGTCATTGTCATCATCATCATCATCATCATCATCATCATCACCATTGCAAGAGACCCGAACTGAGAACTTACTATGTGCTGGGCACTGCACTAAGCATTTTGCATTCACTATGTTATATCATCTTTGTAGCCCTGTCTCTGTTTTAGTGATAAGCAAGCGGAGGCTCAGAGATGTTGATCATTTGACCAAAGTTACACAGCTAGTAAGTGACACAGGAATTGAACCCACATACGGCCAATTGCAGAGTCCTCCCCCTTAAACACGATACTCTTCTGCCTCCCACACAATGTCATGTGATGTCTTAGTACATTTAAGGCCTCTTTGTAACCTAGTTGATTATTAGAACATAGCATGAGTCACTGTGGTCTAACAAATGTAACGCCTGGGTACAACTGTGGCTGGTCCCCCTTTGATTGCACCTGGAAACCAAGTTCAGAATCCGACTTTGATGTACTCTAAGCAGTCATAAAACTGCTAGGACATGAAACTGCTCTTCACATCTAATCTCTCTCACTACTGGTTCCCTAAAGCAAAACTGGACCAGTAGTCAGGTGTCACCACTTGTCTGTCACTTTGTCGTACTGTGGCAGCTTGCGTGTTGCTATAGTGCAGGAAGCTACACCACTGGTACTCAAATACCAGCAGGGTCACCCATAGTGGAAGTGTTTCAGCAGAGCTTCCAGACTAAGACAGACTAGGAAGGGAGGCCTGGTGATCTATTTCTGAAAATTAGTCAGACAGACACACAGACAGACACACACACAGACATATATGTGGTTGTTAGTTGCCACTGAGTTAGCCCCAGCTCATGGAAAGCCCATGCACATCAGAACGAAACACTGCCTAGTCCTAAGCTATCTTCACAATCATTAGTATGTTCAAGTCCATTGTTGCAGCCTCTGTATATTTCAAGTGCCTTCCAGCCTTCCAAACCTTATGGATCACAATGGAACATTGTCTGATATAGTGCTGGAAGATAAGCCTCTTAGGTTGGAAGGCACTCAAAATTAACAGTGGCGGTAACAATGAACTTAAGCATACCAATGACTGTGAAGATGGCGCAGGACCGAGCAGTGTTTTGTTCTGTTGTACATGGGGTCGCTGTGAATCAGAACCAACTTGATGGCAACTATCACCAACGCCAACAGTCAAAGATGAGGCAGAGTGCATCCCGATCCTGTTCTCTCAGACTTTTTATAAAAGGCTCTCAACCTTTTGTTGGTCTGAGTAGGGTGGAAGGTGCTGTGTTGGAAGAGCATCCTATTGAAAAGTAGCTCAGCCTGGAATTGAGCAATCTGACTGACAACCCCAGGAAGCCCAGGAGCTTATGGGCTGTCAGACTGTCTCCAGGAGAGCCAAACAAGCTGTCAGGCGAGTGGGAGAGAAGCCAGCCAAAGCAAACAAAGCACTTGGCACTGGGGAGTGTGAAGCAGCCAATATGTGGACTGTCACCAACTGTTGCGGTGTTGAGACTCAGTCCATAGCTATTGAATCAACTTACTTGTTCACTGGTCTAGTTCATTAATCCACGAAACATTTGTTGAGCTAGGTCAGGAGTTAGGGGCTGGGAATAAAATAGCAGCTAGAAGTTATTGAGCACTTACTATGTGCCTGTGCTCTTGACATGGATGATCTCATTTGAACCTGGCCATGACCCTGTGAAGGAGGAGTACCATCATCCCCATTATTCAGATGGGGAAATTAAGGTTGAGAGAGGGGACAGTAGCTGGCCTGGTGCTAGGATATGAATCCAAGTCTGTCTGACTCCAAAGCCTGAAGTGTTGCTGCTGTATGAGGAAGACCCACTCATGGTCCCCTTCTCACCTCAAGGAGCTCTGAACCCAAATTACCATAAATTACCAGACAGAGTGTGTGTGCGTGTGTGTGTATGTGTGTGTGTGTGTCACCTGGGGATATTTCTCTGTACAAGATGGAGGAGCAGCCCCTAGAACCCACCTTAGGCAAAAACACTGATTTGAGATGACCACACTTCTCTATGCTAAGTTAGACTCCATTGAGGACTGGCTTGGACCTCTGTACTGTCCCCTCATAGCACTTGTCACAACTGCAGTTCATTTGTGTGATTAATTGCCAAGTGGCTGTCTCCCCCACAAGACAGGAAGTTCCTTGAGAGCAGGGTCTTATATCATTCACCAGGGGCTTCCCACGGCTGAGCACAATGTCCAGCACATAAAAAGCGCCAAATAATAAATAGGCAAGGGCTAGGGCAAGAATCCACCACTCATCTGTCAGTTTGTTGTACTGTGGTGGCTTGCATGTTGCTGTGATGCTGGAAGCTATGCCACCAGCATTTCAAATACCAGCAGTGTCATCTGTGGTGGACAGGTTTCAGCAGAGCTTCCAGACTGAGACAAACTAGGAAGAAGGTCCTGGTGATCTACTTCTAAAAAAAAAATTGGCAAGTGAAAACCTTATGAATAGCAGCAGAACATTGTCTGATATAGTGCTGGAAGATGAGCCTGTCAGGTTGGAAGGCACTCAAAAGACGACTGAGGAAGAGCTGCCTCCTCAACGTAGAATTGACCTTAATGAGGTGGGATCTTCATTTGTTGGTGTGGCACGACTCAAAATGAGAAGAAACAGCTGCAAACATCCATTAATAATTGGAATGTGGAGTGTACAAAGTATGAATCTGAGAAAATTGAAAGTTGTCAAAAATGATATGGAATGCATAAAGATCGATATCCTAGGCATTCGTGAACTGAAATGGACTGGTGTTGGCCTTTTTTTTTTTTTTTTTTATTGTACTTTAGATGAAGGTTTAAAGAACAAATAGTTTCTCATTAAACAGTTAATACACATATTGTTTTATGACAATGGTTAACACCCCACGACATGTCAACACTGTCCCTTCTCAACCTTGGGTTCCCTATTACCAGCTTTCCTGTCCCCTCCTGCCTTCTAGTCCTTGTTCCTGGACTGTTGTGCCCCATTAGTCCCCTTTTGTTTTATGGGGCTGTCTAATCTTTGGCTGAATGGAGAACCCCTCGGGACTGACTTCATTACTGAGCTAAAATGATGTCCAGGGGCCATACTCTCAGGGTTTCTCCAGTCTCTGTCAGGCCAGTAAGTCTGGTCTTTTTTGTGAGTTAGAATTTTGTTCTACATTTTTTCTCCAGCTCTGTCCAGGACCCTCTGTTGTGATCCCGGTCAGAGCAGTCAGTGGTGGTAGCCGGCCACCATCTAGGTATTGGCCATTTTGAATTGGACAATCAAAGGGCAGCTTGAGAAGACAAAGTAAAGAATTATAATGAAATGTGCAAAGAACTGGAGTTAGAAAACCAAAAGGGAAGAACACACTCAGCATTTCTCAAGCTGAAAGAACTGAAGAAAATATTCAAGCCTCAAATTGCAATATTAAAGAATTCTGTGGTGGCATAGTGGTTAAGAACTACGGCTGCTAACCAAATGGTTGGCAGTTCGAATCCACCAGCCGCTCCTTAGAAATCCTATGGGGCAGTTCTACTCTGTCCTGTAAGGTCACTATGAGTAGGAATCAACTCAATGGCAATGGGTTTTTTTTTTTTTTTTAGTTTATGGGCAAAATATTGAACGATGCAGAAAGCATCAAAAGAAGATGAAAGGAATACACAGAGTCACTGCACCAAAAAGAACTGGTTGACGTTCAACCATTTCAGGAGGTGCATATGATCAAGAACTGATGGTATTGAAGGAAAAAGTCCAAGCTGTCCTGAAGGCTTTGGTGAAAAACAAGGCTCCAAGAATTGACGGAATACCAATTGAGATGTTTCAACAAACCGATGCAAGCACTCACTCATCTATGCCAAGAAATTTGGAAGACACCTACCTGGCCAACCAACTGGAAGAGATCCGTATTTGTGCCCATTCTAAAGAAAGGTGATCTAACAGAATGCAGAAATTATTGAACAATATCATTAATATCACACACAAGTAAAATTTTGCTGAAGATCATTCAAAAATGGTTACGGCAGTACATCGACAGGGAACTACCAGAAATTCAGGCCAGATTCAGAAGAGGACGTGGAATGAGGGATATTATTGCTGATGTTAGATGGATCTTGCCTGAATGCAGAGAATACCAGAAAGATGATTACCTGTGTTTTATTGACTATGCAAAGGCATTCGACTGTGTGGATTATAACAAATTATTAATAACATTGTGAAGAATGGGAATTCCAGAACACTTAGTTGTGCTCATGAGGAACCTGTACATAGACCAAGAGGCAGTTGTTTGAACAGAACAAGCAGATACGGCATGGTTTAAAATTAGGAAAAGTGTGTGTCAGGGTTGTATCCTTTCACCATACTTACTCAATCTGTATTCTGAGCAAATAATCTGATAAACTGGACTATATGAAGAAGATTGTGGCATCAGGACTGGAGGAAGACTCACTGACAGCCCGCGATATGCAGATGACACAATCTTACTTGCTGAAAGTGAAGAGGACTTGAAGCAGTTACTGATGAAGATCAAAGACCACAGCCTTCAGTATGGATTACGTCTCAACATAAAGAAAACAAAAATCCTCACAACTGGACCAATCAGCAACATCATGACAAATGGAGAAAAGATTAAAGTTGTCCAGGATTTCATTTTACTTGGATCCACAATCAACATCCATGGAAGCAGCAGTCAAGAAAACAAACGACCCATTGCATTGGGCAAATCTGCTGCAAAAGACCTCTGTAAAGTGTTAAAAAGCAAAGATGTCACTTTGAGGACTACTGTGTGCCTGACCCAAGCCATGGTGTTTTCAATTGTCTCATAAGCAAGTGAAAGCTAGACAATGAATAAGGAAGACCAAAGAAGAATGACACCTTTGAATTGTGGTGTTGGTGAAGAGTATTGAATATACCATGGACTGCCAGAAGAAAGAACAAATCTGTCTTGGAAGAGTACAGCTAAAATGTACTTGCTTAGAATCAAGGCTGGCGAGACTTCATCTCTCATACTTTGGACATGTTATCAGGAGGGACCAGTCCCTGGAGAAGGACATCATACTTGGTAAAGTGGAGAGTCAACGAAAAAGAGGAAGACACTCCACAAGGTGGATGGACACAGTGGCTGCAACAACGAGCTCAAACATAGCAATGACTGTGAGGATGGCGCAGGACTGGGCAGTGTTTTGTTCTGTTGTACACAGTGTCTCTATGAGTCAGAACCGACTTGAAAGCATCTAACAACAGGGCAAGAATGGCCTTTCCCTTTCCTTGTCCTCCTCACCACCCATTTTCTATCTCCTTCTTTTCTGTCTTGCCTGAATAGGTTTATGCCCAGCATTTACCCTCATGGTAGCCTAGGGAGCTAGGATTGCGAGATTTAGCAAATAAGAATGCAGGACACCCTGTTAAACTTGACTTTTATATAAACAGTAAATAATTTGTGTTCCAATATTTGTACACTTATTATACATTTATACTAAAAATTATTATATATAAAACATATATTTTATAGAACATATAAAATTATATATAAATTATTCATTGTTATATAAAACATATTTTATATAAAATTATATGTAAAAATATTCATTGTTATCTGACAACCCTACATTGGAGCTAGCTAAAAAGGTGTCTGACCCTATTGATGAGGCTGAATCTGATGGGGAGAATGCTGAGTTGCTCATCCCCCCTTCCCCCATTCTCTGCTCCAGGGTAGCCAGCCTGGTTAACAGCATGTATTGTTGAGCATTTGATGGGTGCCTGGCACCAAACCAGCATGAAGCAAAGTGAAAGACTCAAATTTCTGGCCACAAGGAGTTGAGAGAGACCGAGCAAGATCGGCTGGAGAGTTGGGCTGCCCGATGGAGAAGGGAACTGACAAAGATGGCTGACCCCACTTTGGGCCAGGCCTTTTATATACAGAATCTCAAAATGAGCACACTCCCCTTGCTCTGTAATAACTACCCAGTGTAGAGAGATTCATAGCCCATCTCATTAAATCCTCACAATAACCTGCCAGATGGGAGGGGCCGTCTCTGTTTCACAGAAGGAGTAGTGAATACAGAAAGAAGAGGCTTCCCAAGATCTTTTGCACAGATGGGAAGTGGCAGAGCCAGGATTGGAACCCGGAGGTGCTGACTGAAACAGAGACTCTCCCAAAGCACTGCACAGTTACGTCACTTACCTCTGCTTCCCCGCCCTGCCAAGGACAGAAGCCAAGTAGGATGGGGAAGGAGTTGGAAATCCCATGTACCAATGCCAGTGAACTCTTATTGAGCTTGAGGGTTATTCATCCTTCCATCCATCCATCCATCCTTCCACTCATTCATCTATCCACCCTTCCATCCATCCATTCATCACACTATGTTTGGTGCTATAAATGCCATCTATCCATCCATCCATCCATCCACCCACCCATCCACCTACCCACTCTCCCGCCCTTCCACCCTCCCACAGATCCACTCATCCACCCATCCATCCACCCTCCCACCTACCCACCCACCCGTTCACCCATCCACTCATCTATCCACCCACCCACTCGCCCATCCATCCATCCATCATTTGACCATCCCACTTTGTTAGGTCCATCACCACTATGCCATGGTGACAGAATAACCCCCACGGACCTCTCCAGCTCACCTGGTGGGTCTTACACACTGTCTTAACTCCCTACGGGCTCGGCACCAAGCTTTCTCAGCTCAGCTTCACAAATGACAGCTTGGCCAGGACCTAAAGTTAATCAGCAACTAGACACTCTTCCAGTCGTGGTCCTTATGCTGTCTTTATTCCATTCAGCCAGGAGTGAACAATGTGCTGGACTACGGCCTGAACCGAGTGACCAATCCAGATGAAGTTAAGGTAAACCAGGTACGTCTCTGCACTCAGAGGTGCTTGGTGGAAGCTGTGTACTTTGGGCAGACCCCAAGTCAGGTTCTGAGGCTGGAAATGTGTCCATACATCTCTTCGTGTCTGTTGGGGCACCTGTATCTCCCCTTTGAGACTGACAAAGAGAGGAGGGCTCTGGGCTCTGCGATACCAGGGTCCGGGGAAGGGAGAGGCCATGGAAGAGTCTTGGGTACAGAGAGGCTATAATTGGAGGGAGGCAGAGAATGTAGATGCGGGTCTGAGCAAATGAGACCTAATCATTGGTTTTCAAACTTTTCTGAGTCACTTTCCCCTTTGAAAATCTGATGACTTCGGGATTCCACCCAAAGATGTACAGACATTTTGCTCACAATGTCAGCCAGGCCCCCTGACTTCCAGAAGACTATAGGGCCCATGTTTCAAACCCCTGGCCCACCACCTTTGGACTGAAACCTTGATCCTATGACATGTCATACTTTGGGATCCCAGCGAGTTAATTCCTCACTTGTCTTTGCAAAAATTCTCCTGAACTTTTTGTTTTTGTTTCCCCAAGTCAACCACCTTTCTTGACGGGTGGTCAATTTCCTACCCTTTTTTTCTTTTTTAATTTAAAGAAATGCAGTTCACAAGCTGTTGAAACAGTGAGCATCCAGTCAGGGTTTCCAGTCTTCGCACAACTGACATTCTGGGCTGGATATTCCTTGTAGGGGGAAGGGGCTGTTCTGTGCACTGTAGAATGTTTAGCAGCATCTCTGGCCTCTATCTACTAGATGCCGATAGCTCTGTGCCTTCCTCTCGCTACCTCCCTGAGTTCTGACAATCAACAACGTCTTCAGACATTGCCAATGTCCCCTGAGAGGCAAAATTACCCTGGTTGAGAACCACGGGTACAAGTAACCAACCAACCAGTTGCCGTCGCGTCGACTCCGAGCGATGGCGACTCCATGCTTGTCGCAGTATAACTGTCCTCCATAGGGTTTTCAACGGCTGGTTTTTCAGAAATAGATTGCCCAGCCTTTCTTTTGAGGTGCCTCTGGGTGGACTTGAACCGCCAACCTTTTGGTTAGCAGCCATAAACATTATAAACCAGCCTAAAATCCATGAGATGGTTTGATCTGGGGCAGCCAGGGGTCAGTAACCTTGTCGGCCTTGTGTGTCGTCTCTAAGGCCTGGCAGTTCCTTAAGGCCTGAGTGGGGGCTAAGAGGGATGAGTAGGAAGGCAGGAAGAAGGAAGTCGAAAGGGGAAGAGAAACGGGCAGGACAAAGGTGCCAGGCAGCTCTGTGGCAGGGTACTTCTGCCACCTGGGATCTGGAACTCAGGAGGCTGTGGGGGAAACCCCACCTGTGTGTGACAGAGGCCCCGGTTTAGGGAGAGAGGCCCTGAGGAGAGGGACTTCGAGCCTCCAGAGGGTGTCACCCATAGGCATCATTAGGCCCCCTTACAGCTCAGAGTGACCGTGTTCCAATACACGCCCAGCTCTCAGCCCACGGCAGCCTTTTCCACTTTCCCCTTGTCAGATAATAATTGCTGGGGCCTTGTAGGCTTGGTTGCCATGGAAACAGAATCATCAAGTAAAATACTGAACCCAGGTGGAAGATTTGCTTTTTTATGGGTAACTGGCAGCTCTGGAAACCTCTCTGAGGTGGAGGAGGGGGAGGGAGGAGGCAGAAAGCCTCTCACCCACCCTGACCTGACCTGAGAGAGGTTTGATGAAGGGCGTGTCATCTGAGAACCAAGCGCTTCTCTTGGGAGGCCAGCCAGGATTTGCTTGTGAGATTGTATGTGAGTGTGTGAGTGTATGAGAGTGTACGATTGTGTGTGAGTGTGTGTTGGGGTGTGTGTGAGTATATGAGAGCGTGTGTGACAGTAAGCGTGAGAGAATGTGTGAGCATATGAATGTGTGAGTGGTTGAGAGTATGTGGTATGAGTGTGTGTGTGGTGTGTGTGAATGTGTATGTGTGTGTGTGTTTGAGTGTGTTTGAGTGTGAGATGTGTGTGAGTGTGTGTCTGAGCAGGTGAATGTGTGTATGTATGAGAGTGTGTGGGTGAGTGTATGTGAGTGAGTGTGGGGTGTGGGTGAGTGTGTGTGTGAACGGGTGAATGTATGTATGAGAGTGTGTGGGTGAGTGTGTGTGAGGGTTTGAGTGTGTGGGGGTGTGTGAGTGTGTGTGTGAGCTTGTTTGGGGTGTGTGTGTATGGTGGGGGTGGAGGTGAGGGGTGCTCCTTTACCTTCAGCTCTGAGGAGGTCAGTTGGGGAACAGAGCTGCTCCATCCCGGGAGTGAGCGTAAAGCGACCCAGGGAGACAGCCCTCCTCCCTGAGGAAGTTCCTTCCTGCCCACTGGCGGTCAGGCTGAGGGGAGCGTGCCTCTGGCTTTCAGAACAGAAGCAGTTTCTTGCCGGATGCGGGCACCAATCTCAGCGCGGGGTCAGAGTACACAGACCCCCCTGTGTGCTGCCTGAGCGATGCCTCACCCCGTGATGTTTGACGGCGTCTGTGCTTTTGGTTTTGTTTGCTCGTTGTCTTCACTTATACTCTCTCTCTCTCTCCCTTCCACCAGCTCTCTTTCTCCTGTCTGGGTACTCTGGCTGCTGTGGAGGCTTAAGAAGAATAAAGAGCCGTAATTCTCATTCAAGCGGGGCCCTTCCTGTGCCCTCCCCTAGGCCAGCCCCAGCTTGTCTGTCCGCTCTGCTGTTCAGGGAAACGGAGACTGGTGCTGTGCTTCATCTGTCTGCAACATTTCCCGCCATTTGGCTGAGTGTCAGCGCTCTGGTGTCCTGTTTTTCCACGCTTCTCTGCCCTGAGAGGAGAGGGTCGTGGAAACGCAGTCCCCGTGAGGTCTTAGGAGTGCAGAGGTTTCAGATTTCTGTTTCAGTGCAGAGAAAAGAACTCCCGGTACAAGAGCTGGTTTGGAGAAAGAGGTCATTTCTGAGAATTAGTAAAATCTTAAAAAAACCAAAAAAACCTGTTTTGCTTAAATGGAAGCAAATAGCCCAAAAGAAATAAACACCACTGAAGTATAAGAGGAGTCCCTGGGTGGTGCAAACAGTTAAGCCCTCGGCTGTTAATCAAAGGTTTGGAGTTTCAATCCACCCAGAGGTGCCTTGGAAGAAAGACCTGGTGATCGAATTCCAAAAAATCAGCCATTGAAAACCCTATAGAGCACAGTTCTACTCTGACACATATGGGGTCACCATGAGTTGGAGTTGACTCCATGGCAACTGGCTTCAAGTGTAAGAAAGAAGGCCGTTAGGCGGCCCGCTTCCTCAGGCTGATGGCGCTGGTCCACGTGGCTGCTCAGCCCTGGGAGGAATGGCCGTGGCTAGGGCCACACCCCAGAACATGGCTTCTCTCCTTTGGGCACCTTGAGGCTTACGGGGTGCCAAGCATGCACAGCCTTCCACCTTCCCTTTATTCCAGAGAGAAGTTGACCCTGCAGAGGACAGGCTGAGCGGAGGGTAGGCACTGCCTGGGTGTGGGCAGTGGCGTGGGCAGCGGTGGTCAGGAAGTGATGAAGGCAGGGGCTGCTCAGGACAGGGGTATTGTTGTCTCTTAATGAAACGGGGCCCTGCAGTGTTCTGCAAAGAACTTTAGCATCCAGGTGAGTCCCAGTTCTGGCACTCATTGGCTGTGTGATGCTGGGCAAGCTCTGGAGCCATTCAAAGTTGCAGTTTCTCACCTGTAAAATGGAAATAATAATAATCCCTTCCTCAGAGGACTAAACGAGGTCACTTATGGGAAGTGTCCAGAATGGCATGGGACATGTAGACTCTACACAAATAGCAGTATTGTTATTATAACCGTCCCCATCTCCTGAGGGAACGATAATTAACCTGTAGACCCCATTTTGGGGGCTGTACCTAGACAGTTTTCTTTCCTTGTATCTTCTCATAAGGAGCCCTGGTGGCACAATGGTTAAGCGCTTGGCTGCTAACTGAAAGATATGTGGTTCACACCCACCAGCTGCTCCGCAGGAGAAAAGACCTGGTGATCTGCTGCCGTAAAGTTTACAGCCTTGGAAACCCTATGGGGTAATTCTGCTCAGTAGGGTCGCTATGAGTTGGAATCAACTCAATGGCACACAATAACAACATACTTCTCATATTCCTACCTTGGTTGGAGACCAGGGAAGGAAGATACAGACCAAACTCAACCTCTCTGCTAGTCCAGTAAAGAGCTGCTGGGAACAGCACAGTTTACACTAGCGTGCACACTGGTCTGTGGGTAAAAGTCAGCAATGTTGCTCCACAGTATTAAATACCATGCTCTGCAGAGCACTCAGCCTGGAGCTCTCAGTGAGCAAAACCAAACCAACCCATTGCCATTGGGGTGACTCCGACCTATGGCGACCCCATGTGTGTCAGAATGAAACTGTGCTCCGTAGAGTTTCGACGGCTGATTTTTTCAAAGTAGATTGCCAGCCCTTTGTTCTGAGGCACCTCTGGGTGGACTTGAACCTCCAGCCTTTAGCAGCTGAGAGTGTTAACCTTTTGCACCCCTCCAGGGACCTCTCAATGAGCAAAAGCTCCCCCGCCCATAGACTCCCACCAGTAGGGGGCAAGCTGTTTCCTTCTTGTGGCTCCTGTGTGACCGGAGCCGGCTGGGGGCAGGGACGACTCTAATGTCCGACGTTTGCTGAAAGCTTGCTGTGTGCCAGGCACAGAGCTGAGTGCTTCACACCCAGCAACAGCTCAGCTAAGCCCCACAACAACCTGATGAAGCCAAGAGCGTTGTTTTATGGTTGAGGAAACAGGCCAGGAGAGGAGGCACACAGGGCGGAAGCATAAAGCCGGGCCTGGAACCTCAGCTGCTGGGTGCGCAAGCCCACTCTGTGTCCTGACTGATGTTTGCTAACGTCCGTTGCGTGACTTTTAGAAGCTTTGCTGGATTTCATTAAGTCATCACAGCCGCTTCGTAAGCCAGGTGATATCATTTCCATTTTTCACATAACAAAACCAAAACAGATTTAGCAGTTGTCCAAGGTGGCCCACCAG